ATTTTTATAGTTTTAAAATATTAATTTATTAATAATACTATTTCAAGTCAACTCAAGTCAAGTTGAGTTTGAGTTGAATTTAAATCGAATCGAGTTAAATATTTAACTCGACTCAAATTTGATTTAACTTGTAAATCATTGAGTCAAAAAAATATAAACTCAACTTGATTTAAACTCAACTCAGCTTATCTGACTCATGAGTTAACTCAACTCGTCTGAAACTCTAAAGGTAAAAGCTAATACAAATAAATAATGTAACATAATACTAAAATGCTTATCATTTTCATATCGAATTGCTAGTTTACAATTTTGTATTTGCCACCACCTATTTTGATTAAGATAGAAAAAACAACCCTTATTATTAGCATCAAGAAACTTGCAACATGATATATTAATTGCTGCTAATTCAAAATCAGTAATGATACTTAATAGTTTTAATTGAACATTATTTTCTTCAGTAAACTCAATTAAGTTCTCGAATACTCATTTATATTCTCCTCAGATTTATGAATCATTAGAATGTACACTAATAAAACAATTCTAGAATTTTTTTTAGTACTAATAGGTGTATAAATTATATATATTTGATGAAAGATTATAGAAACAGTTTTAAATATGCCATCTATTATTCAAAATAATGTACTAGATAAATATCTAATATTTTACTTATAGTAAATATAAGGATTTATTCTTGACCAACTACTATATTCTTCTGAAAATAAGCAACCCCTAAAAATAAGCAATACCTATTTTATATAGATTCTGAAAATAAGCAACACTTCAGAAAAACTGAATTTTTTTTTTAATAAAATTTTTTTTAAATAAATAAATAATTTAGCTTTATAAACATATTATAAATGTATTCAATTATTTATTTATTATTACAATAAAAAATATATTATAAAATTAGTATTTATCCAAAAAATATAAAATTTCTAGTGGAAAAAAATTAATCTATAATATCAATAATATCATTCTCACTAACAGTAGTATCAGAATTATTATCAGTGATATTATCATCATAATTATCATTATTATGATTATTATTACGATCATTAATATCATCATCACTAATATCACTTGAGTCCAAATCATTTGAAATATTATACTTTTTAAAGGACTTAACAATTATATCAGTAGAAATACCCTTCTATGAATGTTTTACCTATAAATAAATATTATTAAGATTTGCATAGTAAAGATTTCCTAAGGCAGTTTTTCTAGCACTACTATCTACCATTTAAGAATGCCACTCCTTTTAAAGATTATTCTTAAATAGCTTATTAATGGAGATATTAAGTGATTAGCATTTACTTGTCAATCTACCTAAGATTATCACAAGATAGACATCATTTTTGTGAAATCTTTTTTAATTGAATCTTTTAAGTAGCCTCTGAATTAATCATAAATAAGCATTGTCAAATTTTTTCATATTTCATTTTTCATCCTTATATTGTTAAAATAATCTATATATCTCAGCATCAAATTGGTATTTATCCAACCATTAGTTTTTAATAACTCCCAAAGGCATTTTTTCTCTATGTGACATTTATTTGCTTTTAAAAATACAAATTGGTAGGAATTTGGACCTGTTTATTATAATATTAAAAAATCAAATAAAGAAAAGAAAAAAAAATTAAGTGGAAAAGACGGAAAAGAAATAAAAAATGAAAAAAATAAAAAAGAAAAGAACAATACCTGCGGCACATGTAAGGATTACTGTGAATCAGTTTTTTTCATTTTCTATAGCTCAAATATGAATTGTCTTTTCTCCTTTAGGGTTAATTGTATAAACACTGGTCATGTCGAATCAAACTGAAGTTTCATCTTTATTAAGGATGTTATTCAGTTTGAATGACTTTTCAATTCTTAAATTTTTAATGAACTGGTAAAATTTCTCTAATTATTCCTGAGTTTCATCAGGAAGTTTCTGGAAAATTTTGGTTCATTTACACAATGCTAAATTAAATCTTTTCACAAAGCCTAATATTCAACGTTGAGATGTTTTAAAGTCTTCACTTATATTACTATAAAGAACCACTATTTCAGATTCTTTTAAGATCTCTAATATTTTGTTTCTTATGGTTATGTAGGCCATTGAAAATCCTGTTTTCTTTGTTATATAATTCAGGTATAAAGCTTTTTCTCTACTTTTGAAAATAAGGCTTTCTACCAGAGCTAACCTGCTTACTTTTTCCTTTGATTTCAATCATCTATTTTGAACTTGCATTTACCAACTGATTCATTATACCATAATCAATATTAAATAGAGGTGCGATCTGTTCATTCGAAATCCAGTCATCTGATCAAAATTTGGATTAAATTACAGTACAGATATGATTATTTTTGATCAAATAATATACAAATTTAAAAACTTTGAACGGATTTTTACCAAATTATCCATATAATCCGTTGATCTGATAAATAGTAATATATATGTTGTAGTACCGACTGTACCGTATATGTTGTATAAAAATTTCCTGAAATGTAAATTTAATTGTAGTTAGTTACTATATGAAGAATGTAGAATAAATGCAGAATTCTTTCATGTTATGTAGTTAAACGCGTTGAACCAATAAAAACAATAGTTAATGAAGTAGAAGAACCTCATAATGATAATAGTGACACTGAACTAGAGCAACCAAATCATAAAAAGGTTAGGCTAAATGAAACCTGTGAAGAAAGTAAAGTTAGAAGTTGGATCTGAAAATACTTTGAACCTTGTTTTAAAGAGGAAGTAAGGTATGCAGTTTGTCAAGTAGAAATAATAGTTGAAAAGAAATGTGAAAAAACCTATAAGATTGGTACATCCACTAGTAATTGCTCTGAACATCTTGCAAATATTCATGGGATAACTAAGGAGCAAGAGAAAGCTGATATTGTAAGTGTATTTTCAATAATTAACGTTAATTAATTTTATAAATATAATAATTAAAAAGTTTTTTTTTTAAAAAAAAGGATGCAAATCGAAATCAGAACATTGTAAAAGCATTTTCCAAAAAAACTCATCATCAAG